AGATCCACTGTATTGACAGATCCACTGTATTGATAAATCCAATGTATTGATAAATCCAATGTATTGACAGATCCACTGTATTGATAGATCCACTGTAATGATAGATCCACTGTATTGATAGATCCACTGTGTTGACAGATCCACTGTATTGACAGATCCACTGTATTGACAGATCCACTGTATTGACAGATCCATGTATTGACAGATCCACTGTATTGACAGATCCACTGTATTGACAGATCCACTGTATTGACAGATCCACTGTGTTGACAGATCCACTGTATTGACAGATCCACTGTATTGACAGATCCACTGTATTGACAGATCCACTGTATTGACAGATCCACTGTATTGATAGATCCACTGTATTGACAGATCCACTGTATTGATAGATCCACTGTATTGACAGATCCACTGTATTGACAGATCCACTGTATTGACAGATCCACTGTATTGACAGATCCATGTATTGACAGATCCACTGTATTGACAGATCCACTGTATTGACAGATCCACTGTATTGACAGATCCACTGTATTGACAGATCCACTGTATTGACAGATCCACTGTATTGACAGATCCACTGTATTGATAGATCCACTGTGTTGACAGATCCACTGTATTGACAGATCCACTGTATTGACAGATCCACTGTATTGACAGATCCACTGTATTGACAGATCCACTGTATTGACAGATCCACTGTATTGATAGATCCATGTATTGACAGATCCACTGTATTGACAGATCCACTGTATTGATAGATCCACTGTATTGACAGATCCACTGTATTGACAGATCCACTGTATTGACAGATCCACTGTATTGACAGATCCACTGTATTGACAGATCCACTGTATTGACAGATCCACTGTATTGATAGATCCACTGTGTTGACAGATCCACTGTATTGACAGATCCACTGTATTGACAGATCCACTGTATTGACAGATCCACTGTATTGACAGATCCACTGTATTGACAGATCCACTGTATTGATAGATCCACTGTGTTGACAGATCCACTGTATTGACAGATCCACTGTATTGACAGATCCACTGTATTGACAGATCCACTGTATTGACAGATCCACTGTATTGACAGATCCACTGTATTGATAGATCCATGTATTGACAGATCCACTGTATTGACAGATCCACTGTATTGATAGATCCACTGTATTGACAGATCCACTGTATTGACAGATCCACTGTATTGACAGATCCACTGTATTGACAGATCCACTGTATTGACAGATCCACTGTATTGATAGATCCATGTATTGACAGATCCACTGTATTGATAGATCCACTGTATTGACAGATCCACTGTATTGACAGATCCACTGTATTGGCAGATCTACTGTATTGACAGATCCACTGTATTGATAGATCCACTGTATTGATAGATCCACTGTGTTGACAGATCCACTGTATTGACAGATCCACTGTATTGACAGATCCACTGTATTGACAGATCCACTGTATTGACAGATCCACTGTATTGATAGATCCACTGTATTGACAGATCCACTGTATTGATAGATCCACTGTATTGACAGATCCACTGTATTGATAGATCCACTGTATTGACAGATCCACTGTATTGATAGATCCAATGTATTGATAGATCCAATGTATTGATAGATCCAATGTATTGATAAATCCAATGTATTGATAGATCCAATGTATTGATAGATCCAATGTATTGATAAATCCAATGTATTGATAAATCCAATGTATTGATAGATCCAATGTATTGATAAATCCAATGTATTGATAAATCCAATGTATTGATAGATCCAATGTATTGATAAATCCAATGTATTGATAAATCCAATGTATTGATAGATCCAATGTATTGATAGATCCGGTGTATCTATCGCTCATATCTTTTAGTATGTTAATATACTTATATTCTGTCCTTTTTTTCTATATCAAATGAGGGGTCCCCGTAGTACAGTCGGCTTCTTTCTCGACTCACAATCCGAGATTTCGGGTTCAAATCCAGAGCGGGACAGAAGTGTTTGGGCGCATTTCCTATCACCTAATGCGTCTGTTCACATAATAATAAATTGGTACCCAGAAGTTAGTCAGCTTGTTGTAGAGTTGCATCCTGGGCGGGGTCGGTAATTCGACCCTTGGGGGGGGGGGGCTCGATTTAATCTTTATATATATATATATATATATATATATATATATATATATATATATATGTATATCACGAAAATAAACACGTGATTAAGAATGTGACAATGTCAGACCACGAAGGAAAAATGAAACAGGAAATTTCCTTAAGTACTTTCGTATTAAATACATCTTCAGAAGGTCCAAAGAAGGTACTTAAGGAAATTTCCTGTTTCATTTTTCCTTCGTGGTCTGACATTGTCATATATATATATATATATATATATATATATATATATATATATATATATATAAAATCCACAAGAGCCGCGATAGGGATTCGAACCTACGCGCTGGGTATTCGCAGACGCACGCTCTAAACAACTACACCACGACATGGTCAAAAGAATTGCAACCTGGGGTACTACTGCACCCACTAGGATTCCTGAGGCTTCCACTGAAACCGAAATAGGGTTTCACACAATTCCTTAGACCATATCGTGGCATTTGGGGATACCCAGCGCATAGGTTCGAATCCTAATCACGGCTCCTGTGGATGTTCTCATTGATATATCACGATAATGTGAATTCTCAGTCTGTAGTCGACTATCAACCAAGCACATATTTCTTGCTGGATGAACAAAGGCATCGGGTGTAAAGAGATTTTCCAAGCTGTCTCGTCTTTCACAATCATAAGACATAAGGCTCTTACCTGGGAATTAACTTACGAATGAAAACGCCCAACTGTGAAAAAAAATCCAAGACAACGGTATCTATAATAATCCTCCTTCTCACCCTCTTCCTCCTCCTTGCAGCACTAAGACGACCCTGCTGACGGAGTAGGCAGTTGTTTAATCTTATCTCAACCGAACTCTGGCCAAACAACGTCTATCTGCCCAAGAAAACGCAAACTCAATCTTAACCCAATTTCAACCCAATGTCAACTGACGCCAACGCATGGGCAGTGAGCCAGAGCACAAGGTATTGGCAGGATCTCTGGAGGGAAGTGAAGGTGAAACAGTCAGACGCTCAGAGTATCTCAAGACAGCTTACACGGAGGCCTGCGCCCCCTCAAAGACTCTGTTGTGGAATTTTTTTTTCTTCTTAGTTTAGCATATGGAAAAGTTTTCTGTGATGCGACTCTTAGAAATATTTTATAAGTTTTTAATTATAATAATATTATGTTTTGAGTTTGGCCTGATATATGGTATACATGTTGTACCTAACAGCCAGAATTGGCTATTTTATTTAAAAAAAAATAATTTTGAAATATTTCAAAATATTTTTTGAAAATATTATTTCAAATATTTGAATTATATTCAAATTCAAATATAATTTGAATTTATTCAAATTCATATTTCACGGACATTAAAAAAATTTCGTGAAATATTTAATTTCTCCAAATGTTTTTCTAATGATATGATAAAGTATTCATTATATTATATACGATTGCAATTTTATGTTATGCTGAGTCAAAACTAACAGAAATTTGATGAAACAACCTAACCTAACCTATCCAAACATGTCCTAATATAACAAGTCAGAAATTCATGTTAATAATATAATAAATTATTGATAGAAAAGAACCAAATCTGGAAATATAAATTTGAAAATAACGAAAATCATTCTGCCTGTTAGGCACATCGGACCTTGCATACAAGGACAAGAAGTGCGGTTTTGACTCAACATTTGTTATAGTTTTGACTCAATATAAAATTGCAATCATATATAATACAATGATATAATATAATATTTATCTATCATTTAAAACAAAACAAAATATAATACAGTATTATATTATAAAACAAAATAATAATAAATAAATATTATATCGTGAAATATTCGAGAAACAAATATTTCACGAAAATTCTGCTTATTAGGCAATTCTATTAGGTACAACATTTGTATATATATATATATATATATATATATATATATATATATATATATATATATATATATATATATATATATATATATATATATATATATATATATATATTATTGACAAAACATATAACAGAAGGCACAGAATAACAGATGAGCAGTGATAAGCAAGAGGAGGTCGTCAGCAAAACTGAAGATCGGTAACTTGTGAGTCAATCTTGGTGGGATTGACTTGGGAAGGGGAGATATATCCTGCGAAACACTTTATACCTAGACTATTTCTCTAAAATGGAGATACAATACAACGGCGACTAGATTCACAGGAAATTAATTTATAAAATGTTCCGCGTTTTAGGCTATGATTCAACTGAGAAGGTAACGATAGATTATACTCTCCAAAAGTAGCCTCAAAGTATTTGTTTACTATGCAAACCAGAGTAAGAAAATATATCACAACTTTCGTGTCTCTTTATCCACTGCAATATTTGCAATGATGCAAAGAGATGCAATGTATCTGAATGCGGGGGGAAGGGGATGGGGGAGATAGTCCCATGGTGGCACGGATCAATATGGCGGCGCCCATGCAGTGAAGCGTGACGCCTCTTGAAACAAAACCTTATTTAGATTCTGAAAAGCTTTCTGTTGGCAGTTTATGTTGTGAAAAGAAAGATATTTGCAAATGAGAAAAAATATGCACTCGTCTGACGATAATAGATTCCCTCTTCGATTTCACACCCCACCAAACAACAGGGGCAAACTAGAAATTAAAATGGATGAACCATCTATGCAAAAACTTTCTACGAGAGAACGTACTCGCCAGAACCTTCTGCAGACAGAAAATAAAATTTAAAAATAAAAAGGAAGAGCTAGGCTACATGGGGGGAGCTAGGAAGACACCTTCCTGCACAAGCTCTCAAGACCCACCAAGAGTCATGGAAGTCAAAAGCAAGACACTTACTTAAGACACTACTTAAGGCAGACACTTACCTTCCTGCAGCAGCTCTGACGGCCTCACCAAGGGTCACAACCGTCCTGAAAACACAACAACAACGTCATTTAAAATATATATATATATATATATATATATATATATATATATATATATATATATATATATATGTATATATATATATATGTTTCATTGAATATGACCGCATATTCTGTATTTATTATTTTCTGGTTTAGGGCTTCTATCCCTCTAACTATTTTCTTAGCATCAGGGCTTAATTGAAATAGGAGTTCTCCAAAACTCATTTTCGTACTTTTAAGGTGAAGAAAAGAAGTGATTTACTATAGAGTGTATTACACTTATTTGTATAATTTGCACGACGTTTCGAACCTCCATGGTTCATTCTCAAGTGAACAGATCTTACAATACTAGTTGATTTTATACCCGCATTAGGTCAGGTGATAATACAATGAAGGTGAAAACATGGGGGGATACATAAGGGATAAACATAGGGGCTGCAGAAGGCTTATTGGCCCATACGAGGCATCTCCTATCTAAACACAAAGATTAATCCAGTGTAATTGGCCTGTTATGTTGGACATTGTCTTCTGTGTTGGCATCGATATGTTCTTGTCTTGTCCTTACTCTCATGGTGGGTAGAGTAAATAGTTCCGTGATTTGGGTGTTCATGGTAGGTTGCTCTATTCTTATGTGAATTGCCTCAAGAATTTGTAATCTTCTTGAATCTTGGGTTTTGTCTATTATGCAAGTATTCTTGTTCAACATTTCTCTTGTTAGAGTAATGTCATGGGCTTGTCTCATGTGATTCCTAGGGGCACCAGATTGAAGATGGCATGTCAAACGCCTCGTCAGCTTGGTCGACGTCATACCTATGTACTTACATTGAAGGTTACATCCTTCGTGGGGGCAAGTGTACATGTATACAACGCTTGACTGCTGTAGAGGGTTCTCCGTCGGCTTCGGGCTGTTTTTGATAAGGAGTTCGGAAGTACTTCCGAACTCCTGTAACTACCTGTACCTGTAACTATATTATCCCATATAAGACAAGAATATCAACTAAAACCTCGCGCACCCGAATCCTTTAATAATATACGGTCTTAAGCCATAGAACCTCCAACAAATCTTTATCTCTGGTATCTGGTATTGGAGAAGTGAAGGCAGGAATTTGGAGGTGCTAGGCTTGCAAGCAGGTCAACCTCAGGTCATATGTGTGTGGCATAAAAATTTCACCACCACCACCACCATAGTCAAACCTCTAAGTTGATGGTTCTAAATTATCATACACATTAGATTTAATCTGTGGTGTATTAATATATCATTCCTCATTCTCTACACCGTATTATTCCGTCTCCCTTTCCCTTAAATCCCAAACCTTTCCCCCTCCTAAATATACCCCATTCCCCTTATATCGCATCTTCTTCCCCGCCATCGTCGGCAGGTAAGACCCTCACTCGCCTTCAGAATTCCCTGGGCGAGTTCCTTTCCAAACGAATAAAAGAAGAGTTTTTCATTAAAAACCCCCACCGTTATATTTGCCGTACCCCGCGCCACCAGCCCGCGCCGGGGAACCCCACGCAGAATATATAACTTTCCTCACCCACGAAAGACAATATTATAATCAGTTCCAAAGTTTTGCCACAATAAACCATCTATTCCTTCAATTATTTTACACATTTTATTTACTTAGTATTCTCGGCAGCCGGGGCGAAGCTGCCGCAAAGTTTGAGATTAATATTAACTATCTGTCCCTCAACGATGAAGAATAATTCGAGTTTTTTTTTTAAGGGGGAAGGCGTTAAAAATGCAGGCGTTGTCAGTAGATTTTTCCAGCCGAGAACAATCTAATATTGACTTTAGAAAGAGTCGGTGTTAAGAGCGCCTCCTCTACGGGTATTTAACGATAAACAAGCCTGATAGACTTGGGAAAATATTGATAAAACTTGGTACGTTCCGTGAGTAGACGACTGAAGCCTGATTAAAAAACTATTGTTGTATGGCAGAATGTCTTCAGGAGTCTGTTTTGCAGAGGTTGTTCTATGGTGTTACCGTATGTTTGGATATGTCACTATTGTGCCATGATAATAGTTGTCTCTTGTATTGTTGTTAAGATGTGTCTCTTCACTAGGATGTGTCACTGATATACTGTGTTAAGATGATGTATTGCTGTTATGTTGTTCTGTGTCACTTTTGTGCCGTTATACTGTGCTACGATGTCGTTTGACACACTGTGTCATATTTCTTATTCACAGGGATGTCAAAATACATTCTCTTCACAAGAGTGTCAAATTACATCCAACTAACAGGAATTCCAAATTACAGCATAATCACGAAGATATCGAGTTACAGCTTTACTTGATATCAATTTACAATATATTCACAAGGATGTCAAATAACCTTTGACTCACTGGAGCGTCAAATTACATCTACCTCACATTGATGTCAATTACACGTGAGTACATTTAGGTAAGTAAATCCAACTCCTTGAGGCATCGAATCTCTTGCATGATAATACACGAGACCCACAAGTGTATGATCAATCACGTATGAGTTCCAGAGTACTGTATAACGTAAAAGAAGTACTGTATACTGTATAACTCTAAAATAACCTGACGCATCCTAACCTATCATTACCTAAGCCAAGAAAACCAAACTATATATATATATATATATATATATATATATATATATATATATATATATATATATATATATATATATATATATATAAATATATATATATTAGTTTTAACAATAAAAAATGAGCAGTGAGAAGCGCCTGTGTACTATTTGAGAGTTCACTTCCAGTACATCAACTGGTATGCAGGAATGTCAATAAGTTTTGTAAAGTTTTGAGCGTGCCGTAGTGGCAGCTCATGCACGGACAAGAACCATTTCATTCCACTGACCTTTATTTACCCAGGAAGCAACCCACAACAGTTGACTAGCTCCCAACTGATGATAGACCAGGACGGATCGAAAGTGTCGTCAATTCTTCACGACTGATTCAGATTTGTGGGTTGGGTGTCTAATTTTATAACAACATTATGTTCAAAATATATATCTGAACTTTCTGAAAGATGCATCACTAAGCCCAATATGTTCACCGGTTATCTTCAGTTTTTTTTGTATCCACAATGAATCCACAATTTTTTTGTATCCACAATTTGTATCCACAATAAGGTGAGAATTGCTAAATAAGAATCATTAAAAACTTATGAGCTTTTAACAATATCACTTTTTTTTGTATCTTTATTAAATAATATACAATATAAAATTCACACACACACACATTAATATATATATATATATATATATATATATATATATATATATATATATATATATATATATATATATATATATATATATATATATATATATATATATATATATATATATATATATATATATATATATATATATATATATATATATATATCAATTTACAATGAAATTACTACATTACATATAGTTTATATAATTCTTAGTAAACCGATGTTTCATATCATCACTGGGCATTAAACCATCAATATTATACACGATTCTACCTTGCAAGAACTTCAATATTTTGTCTACAGAGTCCGGCTGGTTGGCGCTGCTCCCTGATGCGTTCCTCCATGTCACTGACTTGACAACTATCGAGGAAGTGTTTATTATTTAACTCACGACTCACAGTTAACGATGTGACCTCATGATGAGAAGTTGACCTTCAAGTGGTGTCCCTTTCGCGACGTTACAGGTGTGACCTTTAAATATCGTCGTCGCTTCATGTCACCGGTTACATCAAAATCAACCGCTGTCACTTTATGGAGAAGGTCCCAGCCAGGGAATACAAAGAAACGTGAAACCGGTTGCACCGTCAGCAAACATCAGAAACTATTGATAAACCAGTCGAACTATCCTCTGTCATCAATAATATATTTTAAGAGGGTGTGTTAATAAAGCAACTTACTAGGTTTATGGATTAAGGAGTAACTACAGGTTTTAGGTTGACATAGCTTTTGAGCGGTATTTGTCTCTCGGTAAATGAATATGAGTTAGTGTACGTAGGTAGATATATAAGTTAACAACAAAAGCATTAGTAAAAGACCTTTTCTCATTCTTATTGCATAGCCAAGAACTACTGTTTCGGGTCATTATTTATTGGACCTGTCAATATCAGCATATAAATTGCCTCAGTATAAGACACTTGACAAATTTCAGTCTTGTGTATAAAGCCATGAACCACCAAACAGACTGAACAATAATTTATTAATACTAAAATAGGTCGTTGGCGCCTTATAAACACATTTCATCTTACCTTTGTGTGAGGTACACACATCTCAGCTTTACATGATGCATGTGCGTGTGTGCGTGTGTGTGGCAAGAACACACAGATCAGAAAAGCACAGGAATGAAGCTCAACACTTGTTTCCAAAATGAGACCCTCTTGATCAGAATAAAGGTAACACAACGACTGTTACATGTGGAATGTTAATGAAACCAGTCATATGCTAGGACATATCAACGTCCCGTCCTAAGCCTCAGGTACTAAATACCTTATAAAAAAATCTAAATTACTGACAATATCAGGAATCCTCTGCACATAGGAAATATGGAAGATTTAAATATTTTGTATATAAATGCAACTATTTTTATATTGAATTCTGTGCATCGCTTTTGCTAGTGGCTCTTCAAGCGGTCTCTTTTTCTTCAGGCTTGAATTTGGAATAACGCTGAAGAGGCTATTAATCACAATGTCTTTCCACATGACGCTATAATTGTGTTTAGGTGTATCTGGGCGTTTATTATTTATGTTTGCTGGTATACAAAATATTACAAGTTAGTTTTCATAACTTAATCGAATTTATTCGTCATAAACCTTTGGAACATTCCACCTTGAATATTTTTGTCCTTATACCGGATCATTTAAACACCCTTTGTTTTACATTTTCAGGAGAAAAGTAACTTTCCCCATTTCACACACTAAAAAAAAGACATTTAAATACCAAATTCACATCACAAGAAGGAATATGAAACCCTCGGAGACACTGAAACAAACCCCCAATATCACAACAACAAC